CTTTTCTTGTTTTTATCTACTTTTTTTAAACAAACCTTCTTGTATATATTTTCTGACTATCAGAATAGTTTATGCTCAGATGTGGAATTTTAGGATCAGAGAATATACAGTGTTTCCATTGCTCCAAATTATTACTATTGTTATTATTTTCCTCATCCTTTGATCTGTTCATTGATTTTTAGAGAGAGAGAAACGGAGAGAGAGAGAAAGAGAAAAATATTGAGGCGAGAGAAACACTGATCAGCTGTCTTCTGTAGGCACCCAGCCTGGGGATCAAACCTGCAACAGAGGTATGTGCCCTTGACCTGAAATTGAACTTGCAATCCTTTGGTCCTTGGGCTGATGCTTTAACCACCGAGAAAAACCAGCCAGGGCATAGTCTATTTACATTTAAAGTAATTGTTGATAGATTTGTACTTATTGCCATTTTATTCATTGTTTTCTGGTTGTTTTCCATAGTTCTTTTCTGTTCCTTTCTTCTTCTCTTGCTCTCCTCTCCTGTGCATTGAGGACTTTCTGTAGTGTGATGTGTTTGGATTCCTTTCTCTTTATTTTTTGTCTATCAATTATAGGTTTTTGGTTTCTTGTTACCACGAGATTCATATATAACAAGCGATGTTTGTAGCAATCTATTATAAGTTGATAGCTCTTCAAGTTCAAACACATTCTAAAACTACTATAGTTTTTACTCCTCCACATTTATGTGTTTTTTTTAATTTATCTTTATTGTTGAAAGTATTACAAATGTCCCCTTTGCTCTCTATTGACCTCATCCATCCTGCCCCCAACTACCACCTGGGCCTTTACATATGCATAACACATTAATGTTTCTAACATCATATTTTACAGTGTGTGTGTGTGTGTGTGTGCGTGTGTGTGTGCGCGCGCGCTTGAATTTTAAAACCAAACTTTCTGGGGAAGAAGCACACTTAGTCATGATTATTGTTCTCTTTATATATTATGGGACTCAACTTAAAATTTTGTTAGTGACTTTGGCATATATGTTCATGAGAAATATAGATCTGTAATTTTCTTTTCTTACAATATCTTTTTCTGATTTTTGGTATCAGGGGTGTGCCAGTTTTGTAAAATGAGTTGGAATTATTTCTCCATCTGCTCTATTTTCTGAAAGAGTTGTGTAGAATTTGTATTATTTTTTTCTTAAATATTTGGTAAAAATCACCAGTAAGCCACGTGAGTCTGGAATATTTTGTTTTTAGTTTATTTGTTTGTTTGTCTTTTTGTTTTTGCTGGAAGGTTTTAATAATTCAATTGCATTCTTTGATATAGAACTATTTATATTCTCTGTTTCTACTTGAGTGAGCTTTGGTAGTCTTTCAAGGAATTTGTTTATTTCATGTAAGTTGTTACATGTTTTCACATGAAGTTGTTCATAATCTCTCATTTTCCTTTTACTATCTGTAGGAAGGACTTCAAATGATGTTCCCTCATCATTCCCAATATTGGCGATTTGTATCTTCTACCTTTTTCCCCAGATCAGTTGGGCTAGAGTTTAGTGATCTTTTTTCAAAGCACCATTTTTTTTGGTTCATTGATTTAAAAATTTGTTTTTGTTTTTGTTTTCTATTCCATTGGTTTCTGCTTTTATTGTTATTATTTCCTTCCTTCTGCTCATTTTGGGTTGGGGTTTCTCTCTTTTTTTTCTTTCTCCTTCCTCTATGTAGAAATTAGGTCATTGATGGGAGACCTGTCTTCTTTTCTTGCATGAGTGTTTTGTGCTATAAATTTCCCTGCGTTAGTAGCATACATAAGTGTTGATATGTTGGGTTTTCACTGTAAGTTCACTTCAAAGTACTTTCTAATTTCCTTTTTGATTTCCTCTAACTTATGAGTTGACTCATAGGAAGTGTCCTGTTTGATTTACAGATATTTGGAGCTAATCCATTTTATTTTTGTGAATTTCTGGTTTAATTCCCCATCCCTCTCTTGATAAGAAAAACACTATTTTTTTTAATCAGAAAAGAAAACAGAAACATTATTATCTTTTTTAAAAAATCATAACTAGTATATATATAAATGTTTTTCTCCTTCTGTAAATTTAGCTTATCCTTGTTTTGCTAACCAAAAATAAATTGAAACTGTTTTATTCCAAAATAAATTTTAAGTTAGGAACTGCTTTTATTTCATAAGTCCAAGGAAGCTAAGGGATTAATGTAGCTATTTTCACATATTCATTTTGCAAGATTAATATTTTTAAATGTATTTCTGTCGTCACTTATTGCACTAATGTTTCTAAGTAAAAAAGGTAGAAATGTTTCTATTCATTATACCAATAATCAAAACAGATAATTAAAATTGGGTTTTTCATATGGGTACCAATTATTTTAATTGCTTAATGTTCAACAATAGACCATTTTTTCTCTAAGTTAGTGTTAAAGTTCTTTTTTGGTCATTTTACAAAATGAAACTCTTTCCTCCAAATACTCAGCAAAAAAAAACATTAGTTCTAATGTTTAATTCTTAAAAATAGTCACTGTGTTGAAAATCTTCTATGTTTAGTCCTCAGGAAAATCTAATTTTCTTTTTGGCCAATGATCTTTATTCCAGTGTATGATATCATGCACTGTCTCTAAAAGTTCTTTTCAAAAATTTAGCATTGTTTTGTAATTTAAAGTAAACTCAAATGGATTTATTTTGGGGGATGGGAAAACTATTGAGACTTGTTTCATTTGTTTCCAAGCTAGGTAATGTCAACACTGTCCTTAAACAGATGTACCTGTCACCTGTTGGCACAGAGGATTAATTTAGCATAGTTATGTAAGAAGTAAACTTGGTCACAAGAAGCAGCACCACATATATTGAGATCTTGAAGAATAAGAAAATCTTACCTTGTATAAAGTAATCAGGACTGAATGGGTTTGTATTAAGAGAGCCTACAATCATGAACAACCATTTTCTGCATAGCTATTATCTACAGCAGGTAGAACAAACATTGTTCCATAAATGATAGTCTTTGCTATTTTGGACTAATACTGCTGAAAACAGGGATATGAAAATTGGGTCATGGCATACTACTACATTATCAGATTTTAACTTCCTGATAGCATATAGATTTTAAATGATCAAAAATCTAATTCATTGCTTTCCCTCAAAGGTCTTCCCAATATCCAGTGTTACCACTGAGTACCCTAATTTCCTTATTGCTTAAGGGTCTCTGTGAGTAATGCTCTATCCTGCATCTTAGAATGTGAGGCTATTACATAAGAGTTGTTGGATTACTGCACTGGCTGTTCTCCTAGGCTAATTAGTTAATTATATTCTTTCTCCCTTCCTTCTAAAAAAATAATAACTTTGAAAATATTGAACAATGCTTCCTTATTTAGTTGGGATCTTTAGAGAACCATTCTTTGCCATGGTTTCCCCAGGTTTGGCAAGGTTTTCAGAGGATAGATATGTGAATTCTGTGAGTCATACTTTTTAAATGATTTTGCCACACCCTGTGATAGGTTTCTTTATAGATTTTTATTTGATTTTGTTATAGAAATGGGCCGGGAACTGTCCTTTTAAGTTGTGTTTACTAAAGCCACTGCAGCCCGTGGCTCCTGTGGTGCGCTGTATATTGGAAACAGAGTGGATGGTGCTGAGCAAACCTGAGCTCTAATCTTCACCTGCAATTACATCCCTACTTCTCTGGCCTTCAGTTTTTATTTCATTTATAAAGTGAGGGATTTCAGTCACAATGTCTCCATAATACTGGCCCCAGATCTAACTATGATTCTGTGGTCCCAGAGAATTCATGACCAGTCCTTTAGGATTAATGATCATGAGAACAAAACAAAACACAAGTTTTCCTAGAGCCTCACAATGGATGTAGGCATGATGAAATCAACTCTATTGTTGCCAAGCTGAGAAGTCTAAGAGCGAAATAAAGCTTTGGGTAGTGAGGTCATCAAGACCATGTGGGAATGGAAGCCCAAGCGCTCTGGACTTCCCTCTAATGAAAGAAACCTGTCATCTTCTAAACCAGCGGTTCTCAACCTGTGGGTTGTGACCCCTTTGGGGGTCGAACAACCCTTTCACAGGGATCGCCTAAGACCGGAAAACACATATATAATTACATATTGTTTTTGTGATTAATCACTATGCTTTAATTATGTTCAATTTGTAACAATGAAATTGGGGGTAACTACAACATGAGGAACTGTATTAAAGGGCCGCGGCATTGAGAACCACTGGTCTAGACTCTTCTTTACCAAGTTCCCTATGTTTGGTCTAAACAGGATTTAATCAAATTAAGTAGGTAAAGGATGCATGACATAAAAGCAAACCACTTTGAGAGTGGAGGATGTTGAGGTATCCCCCAGCAAGGCTGTGCCCTGCACTTTTTATTTAATAATTGCACCGTAAGAATGGATGCAAAATACTTCACAATTTCATGCATTTCTGTGGTTTTCAGTTTTAAAAACGTATTTATAGCCACCCCTAGAAGACAATGCCCCCAAATTAACTTTGACCCAAAGCCTTTGAGATGTTTTCCAATTATTTGTGGTGTGCAACCAAAAAGTTTATCTTCACAATTTTCCAGATGAGGAAATAGAGACGCACAGACATTAAATTATTTGCCCTACGTTCAGAATTTAACCCAATAAAGTGTAGTTTCTGCTTTAGAAAGAGTTTGCCAGGGGAGGAAAAAAGATAAAGTTCAAAGTTGCTAGAGGCTGTGTTAATTACCAGATACCCTTAAAAAGGGCATTTAAGACATCTGATTGCCAAAAGTCACGATGAAGTTACTTTTAGCTGAAAGTCTAGAAAAGTCTTTTAAATATATCTTTAGCTGAAAATTACTAGAAAGCATTATGGGTTTTCTAAGAATTAACTTTTTTGAGATTGTGTGAAAATAATCATTTGGTTTATAATCAGCTTTTAATATGGAATAGCGCCATGTACTACATTTCATTCATCCAGTGCTCACTCTCAAGGTGTAAGTTGGAGGCAAAAATACCTAGCTGTCGAGTTAATATCCTACTTACATGATTACACCATTTAAGTTACCCTTGGGTTATCTGTAAAATGACTTTAGAATGTGAAAAGGCTTTATTTTGTTTTGGTTCCAGGCCTGGCCTTTTGAGAGGTATGGCTGAATTAATAGGAAATCAAAGAAACCTAGGAAAGAGGAATATACAAGCAGTTATTTTTCTACTATGAAGTATTTCACTGGACATTTAACACCCCACACAAAATTCTAGACTTTTATTCACACACAAAAGTCCTATTTCTTGATATGGCTGAAAGTAGGAATTGTATATCCCATACACACACACACAGGCATGCACACACTCACACTTACACTTAAACAGGATCTAATATATATATATATATTTATGTATGTATGTATATGCTAAATTATCCACCTCAAGAGATGAGATGAGATGCTGTAAAATAGCCGATCTCTGAGCTAGAGACTGGCACTTTAGAGCCTATGGTGGATGTTTCAGACCCTTCACCATTCTGATAGTTATTTTGCTGAACATCACTTTCAATACTGTTTTCCTTCTAGGCAATATCCAAATAAACCGAGAGCACTTTCTCCTGGCACTGTGGCACTGACACTAGTGAGGCATTCCTTACAGGTGCCACCATCAGCAGTTAACGTAACTTTCCATGTTTCAGAGTCTCCCACCCGCCGCAGATTGTTCTGCCCATTCATAACTGGGAACCAGAAGAGGAACCCCGCAAAGAGGAAGGAGTTGGACCACTGGTGGAACATATTTATGAGGTAGCTGTTGTCTGGTGAAGCTGTGTTAGCGGTTTATTAATATGCTCTTGACTAATAAATGCTTCATAGCTTTTTAAAAGACAACAAATCTGAGCTTCATACACTGCCCACATTTGTGCTTTTCTGCTACCATATTGCAATGGAGGAGGTGGGGGAGTGTCTTAACAAGACACTTGTTTTCAGTGGTGAGAGCCATTATATAGGGAAAAGCATCTTATCTTGTTACTGCTCTTCTTTGTTAAATGGCCTTTATTTCCTCTCTTTTTAATGTTTAGACAGCCTAAGCATAAAACTAACAAGCTCCCTAGACTTTATTTCACTTATTCTTACATTTTCAGATATCCTTAAAACCCACCCACATTCTAAACTGAAGGTCACCAACCAAAGGTACCAGAGGAGCTTTTATGTATTGCCCACTATTATACAAAAAAATGTGTATATAATATATATGATGGGTGGATGGGGGATTAATAAGAATAATTTTACTGTTCATTCATAAGCCCAATTAAACACAAATAACTTATTCTGAGAGTTGAAGTAGTCTGCTGATTAGTAAAATGTTTTCCAGAAGCGAGCCAGTGGCTCATGAGTAAATCTTTTCTCACTTCAAATGTCAAATAGTGAATAGGGAGGAGCTTTGCTGATATAGCATCTGAGACATGTAAATGTTTTACAGTTAGAAGCCAAGATATAGTAAACGATTAGTGTAGTAGTTGTTCATTTTTTTGTTTTTTTAAAATAAAGTTAATGCTCTCAGTGGAGAGTAGTTATTCCTGTTCATTTTCAAGAGACCAGAAGTGGAATTTTGGTAAAAATGATATTCTAAGCCATTATCCATTTGAGGTTTCTCCTTTTTTTAAAAAAAAATTATTTTTATTGATTTCAGAGAGGAAAGAACAGGGAGAGAGAGGTAGAAACATCAATGATGGGAGAGAATCATTGATCGGCTGCCTCCTGCAAGCCCCCAACTGGGGACCAAGCCCGCAACCCGGGCATGTGCCCTGACCTGGAATTGAACTTCGACCGCCTGGTTCATAGGTTGACGCTCAGAGGTTTCTTCCTGATTAATGCCCCCTTTCCTATGTAACCCATGCCACTGATCTAATAATTCTGACTATGACTTTCATTTCAAACTCCACTCTCTGCACTTAACAATAAAGCCATTTCAAAACTGATGAGCGGTTTACATAGATGGGGAAGAGGCATCAACTCCTGGCAGATGACAGGAACGCCTCTGTCATCTGCCCACCCTGCTGTTCAGAAGCAGAAGCCCTGTCCAAAGCTGTGCCTTAAACCCTCTTGATAGCAAAATGATAACATGGTCCCCAAGGCCACTTGGATTAAGAACTTCACTGGGGGGTGGGGTGGGGGGGGGAAGGGGCAGGGAAAGTTGTCAAATAATTTATTAAATCTTCTGTGCACTACTTTCTGCTTAAGAGTGGTGAGACTATAAAGTTTGAAACATATTCAAATTCAATCATTCTCAGGAATCTCAGGGCATGCCTGCTTTTAATCTTAGCATAAACAAATCATAAAATTTTAGGGTAATAATCAGTAGCGCCAAAAGAAATCACCGAATGCTTCTTACATGTCTCGAAATATACTGCTATCAATGCATGCCACGTTGTTTTGATAACACGAATTAAATGTGCCACCTAATAAAGAAAACCAATTATAAATGATTTTATTGACCACAACAATTGTCAGAACTGTGGAAAACACACACACAAAGGTCCCTGCTAACTTTGAATTTTTAAGACCACAATAAATGTGAATATACTTAGTGTTTTGGTAAGCTGTTTTGTGTCCTGTGAGTGCAGGATTCTTTTGCTTGAAATGTTCATCTCTTCTGGGATGTGCCTTTCGTTCCCTGAGATTTGCTGATTAAAACAGAAGGAGCTCAGCTTTGAAATGCGCACTTGAAGTGAACTGTGGTGAGCCAGGCCTTTGGCATCTGATGGATAGCCATGTTTCCAGAAGGTGAAAGAGAGTGCATCACATATGGTTGCAATTGGCAAGTCAGTAGTCAGGAAAGAAGCGATTTCAGTGCAAAGAAAGAATAACTGGGTTTTGAAAGCATATAATTCAAATTGCATTTCTAACACTGCAATTAAATTAATATAAATTTAAGGTAAGCATCACAATGATCAGACATGGTTAATGTGGTCTGTGCAGAGGAAATCTGCTCTGAGAGCCTCACAGATTGAAGAGTCTGCCCTAAGCTCCAGCACATCTTACTTCCAGAGCTCCTCTTGCTTTTAGAGACTCTACTTCTTATTTTTCACAGTCATAGTCCAGATGACGTAAAACCAAAAGTCATGCTTTCCAGAATGGGTGCAGACTGTGTGGAGTTTGAGCTCCTCTCCCTGCCTGTGTTGTGCCGTAACAGGATGTGTTCCTTGCTTGTAGTTGCACAATATCGGACCGAGTGCCATCAGTGACACCCTTCTGGAGGTGGGCTGGCCATTCTCTGCCCGGGATGAGTTTCTTCTTTATATTTTTCATATTCAAACTTTGGGACCTCTACGATGTCAAACAAACCCACATATCAACCCACAGGATATAAAGGTAGGAGCCTGGTCTAACCTACAGATTTGCTTACTTTTTTGTTTGTTTGTTTATCCTCAGCTGAGGATATTTTCCCGGAGAGTGGTAGGGACGGGGAGAGACAGAGAGAAACATCAATGTGGGACACATGGATTGGTTGCCTTTCGCACATGTCCCGACCAGGGCCAGGGATTGAACCTCCAACCGAGGTATGTGCCCTTGACCGGAATTGAACCCCAGACCCTTAATCTGCGGGCTGGCTCTCTATCCACTGAGCCAAACCAACTAGGGCAGATTTGTCTACTTTTTATGGTAAGGAATAAACCAAAACAGTGGCTTATATATATATATAATAAAAGCAAAGTAATCATGTTTTTTTCATGGTAATTGATTAGACCTTTTCTTTTAGTTTTATAGTTAAAATGCCAGACCTAACTTATAATATCACACCTAGAAAACTTAAATCTCTCTTAGTCTTATGGTGGCCTGTTATTTATTTAGCCTGTTTCTATATGTACTTTTTATATATTGTTTGACTAGCAACACAACCAAACCCAAATCATAAATAGACATGTCATGGTTTGGAGAATTTGTACAAAATGCTATTTTTACAGTATTTTTGGCATATGGCCAAAAGACATGAGGATCTTTGCCAAAACTGCTCTTCCAGCTGTTGCCAATAGCGAGTGTTGAAATGCGATAATTTGCCAAGGGCCATCTCTGTGCCCTGAGGACCCCCAGACTGGAATTATGAGGACCCCATTCTTTAGTGAAGCTTATAAAGAAGCCGAGAGCAGTGCTCCTCAAACTGTTAAGCATGTCTCAGTCACCTTGGAGCCTAGAATGCAGGGTCTTGGGTGAGGTCTGAGACTCTGCCTCTCTGTAAACACTCCTCCTCCCTCTCTTCCCACCTCCCCTCACCCCCCAGAGCCACAGCCCTGGTTTGCTGGTCACACTTCACCCAATGAGGGCCTCAAGCATCCACGGAGCTGATCCCATCCAGATTAAGATTCAAATTTGGCTTTAGGTTCCTTCTGGAAAGGAAAGAAATGAATTAGCATATGCCCTTGAAAATGTCACATTTGAATGAAGGGGAAAAAACCCATTTGTTGATCAGATGTCCTCACAAGAGAACTTCATTTAAGAATGACCATTCTCTAGGGGCTGCAGGGACACAGTGTCTCTGTGAGAAACGGGCGGAGGGCAGGCTCGTGAACACTCTCTCGGCCTCCAGGACACAGGGCTCCCTCTACTCTCAGGGCCACTGGGACTTTGCCTGTGATGAAAAGCTTCTTTTTACGGCCCAACATGCCTTCTGTTCAAAGAGAGGAGGACCAAAAGAGAGTTCAGTATTAATAGGTTTATGGGACATCGAGCTTCCTTCTTTATGGGGAAGTAATAAAGAAGACTACTTGTATTCCTCAGAATTATTTAAAATACTTCCTCCCAGGAATTTTACTTTCCATTTTCTCCCTCCTTTTCATTGACATCTCAATGTCTTCAGAGACAGTAGCTTATATTACAAAATTAACATCTTCAAATGTTAATGTAGAACCTCCAAGTAATTAAAATGTTCACATATCCTGTTCTGCAATTCACATATACTCTATTTCAGTCATGGGTTCTTAGAGCACATGCAGAAGGTTTCTAACTCTCTTTGAGTGTAATGTTTAGTTTATATCTGACACTATTTATATATGTTTGTATATATTATGTAACTTGTTTAATGTGCACCATGTTGGTTGTGAGTTATTTTTTCTTCATTGCAATTAACAATCATTTACAGTGACTGGAGCAGTACAAATAGATAATATTTTTTTGACAGATTCATGCAAACTGAGTGGTAGTATATACTAAACACCTGTATTCCCTGCTACCCAATTAGTGTTTAACATACAGACTTTGACTTAAAAAATCTGTCCAAGGTTAGTAATTTTTTAAAAAGCAACTTAATTATGTTTCTTTTATAAATTTTTCAATCTATGGAAAGTGAATATAAGAGGATTTGACTACAATAAGAAGTAATAGTTCCCTAAAATAACTAATTATTATAATTCATGAATTCTTGAAATTCTGAATTCATAGGACACTTGAAATGTTATTACTTTCAGGTTCTCAATGCTTAGACCTATACTCAATAGGCATAAAGAGCTTTTATCAATAATTACATTTTTAAAATTAATAACCAGTATATTTTATTTAGTAACTATAAACAATTGAGTACTTGATTATTTTCCTCTTAAGATATTAAATAATTTATTGGTGAAGTCACTATTAATTTACTTGACAATTTATTTCTTCCTAGATAACTCAAAGCTAAAATCTGTTCTCTGTCTTAAAAATTAGTTGGAAATTAGTAAGGAACAAATTATTTATTATATCTTGTTATCTTCAAAAAATTGGTCTGGGAAATTTTAAAATTTAACATCAATTTCAGATTCTTACATCAAAGATAATTGCTGCTTTTTAAAAATTAGAACATAGGTGGTTTTGATTTTTAACTACCTAAAGTTATTTTTTAAACTTGGTTCTTGAAGAAGTACAGAGTGGGTAGGTTTAGTAAAAGGAACAGGGGAACAGAAATATATTTGTATAGTTAAGAACTAAGTCCCAACATTAAATCTGGGTGGATGAAGGTAAAATTTTTTACTCTTTGGCTCAACAGTTTCTTTATAAGTTGAGTGATAAGTGGTAAGTGCCTGTAAAACATCTGCCTCTGTGAGCAATCCATGTTCTGTGAATCCTTTCTGAGCACGCCCTAGTCCCACTGGACTAACCACCAAAATACTCCAACTGTGGACCTGCCAAGGGGGAACTACCCCCCAACTTTCAAACGCTTCCTCTGGAGGATTTGCGGAGTCCCAACCATGTCTTCCTCTTCAACCATTCCATTAATTTCCTTTCAGCAAAATCCCTTTCTCTCGTGTTCACATACATTTTTTTAGCTAATGTCTCCCTCCTGTATATATTCTCATTTTTAACTAATGACCCCTGAAAGTAGCTACCTTCTCCACTGCCTCTTTCCAACTCTGATAAATTCCTAAGGAAATTTGTTTATGAAAAAGAAGCAGTTTCTGGGCCACACACTCTAAGGAACCATTGCCACCAACTCTAAAAACTTTGCAGGCTTCCCCCGCAACACACACACCCTCCCCCCGCCCCCCGCCAAAGCCTCTGCAGAATCTCCACGTTTTCCTCTAATTAAGAGTATTAGCATTTAATATAGTCTAATTAACACAATGATTTGTTTCTGTTTTTTTTTTTTTAATATTCACTTGAGGATATTTTTTCATTGATTTTTAGAGGGAATGGAAGAGAGAAGGAGGA